TCCACATATCCCACAGGTTATTGTAGTGCATTTAAAAGTTTCTGCACAAAGACAGAAACCGTGAATTTGTATCTAAAGGTATAAGTAGATACTGCATGCATCTTAGTAGCTACTATACTTGTTTTGGATCAGTCAGTATGGTACTGCTGGCAGTCAGCCTGTGTAACAGAAGCACTTTGGAGTAGTAATTCCTGAAGTGTTCACCTAGAAGCTTAAAGTGGACCGAGGCTCCTGTGGCTAAAATGCAGGTAAAAAAAAAGATGTTTTCAGTTTTTCAGTGTCACATTCTCGCAGTCGGAAAATAACTTGACAACCAGACATTAAATCAAATCTCACCTGGTTGCTGTGATCTCAGCATCGCACTGATGCGGACAGACTCGCTGACTTTGGGGAATCAGATATAAAATCTGGAGTTGTTCATCATCTTGTCCTGTAAGTAAGCACCTACTTACAATGATGCACCGCTGCTGTCGAGCGCTAGCGTTTGGCTCCGCGTCCTCAGTGTACCCTCGGGCCTAATGTCCTCTCCCTCTTTTCTTTCGCATTTTATTCGGTATTCCTTATCCTATAAAATGAAGCTGCAGTGTCGCTGGCTGCTGTAACAGGACATCAGTGGGGGATTTGATGTGGACACGGGCATCAGGGAAGGTGCGAAGAACCCAATTTTCCAATAAGTTTAGGGGAGAGCACCTTTATTGCACCATGGGTATTAGATTTATATTCCTCGGTCTGTGTTCCCATCGTCCCCATTTTTCCTCCGCCTCACTCGGGTTTTCTCTTTTTCTCGCTCGTCTGCTCGCGCTCTTCATCAAACAGATGACTGCTTAATAATTAAACACAAATCTATAAAAGTGAGTTATCAGCAATAACACGATGCACCTCTCTCTCTCCAATTCCTCACTCTGACGTTATCCCCTCCTGCCTTCTCTTTCTCAGAACTACACCCAGTACATCCCGCTGTCCATCTACGACCTGCAGACGTGGATGGGGAGCCCGTCCATTTTTGTGTACGACTGCTCCAACGCGGGAATCATCGTCAAGTCGTTCAAACAGTTTGCCCTGCAGAGAGAGCAGGAGCTGGAGGTGAGGCAAAAACGCACAGCGTGAATGCACGCAGACACAGTGTGCGAGCAAACAGGGCAAAATGATGTGTTGGTATTTAAGAGTTATTAGCAGCAAACTGGGTGATTCATCCGATTACAGTCACACTGAGCACACACTCACATATGTATACAGCATTTATAAAGGACTAATTGGTGTCACCGAGAGTCGACTCGTGATTCGCAGCTGGAACCTTTTCTAATAAAAATCCAAGATGTCTTCAGTGTGGTGATGCAGCCAATCAAATAGGCAGCTGGATCTAAGTGATTGAGTTTTGGTTTCATCCCCAATCCTACACACACACACACACACACACACACACACACACACACACACACACACACACACACACACACACACACACACACACACACACAGCACTACCAGCCCCAGTCCTCTCAGCGCTTCATCTTTTTATTACGTTTTTTTCTCTCTCTTTCTCTCTCCGGCTATGGCGTGTTATGTGAATTCGTGATGAGACGGTGCTGTCATTCATCTCAATTATTCATGGAGAAGTTTCAGCCAGACTGTAGATTAGCTGGAGAGGAGAAGGAGAGGGAGGGAGGGAGGTACAGGATGAACAGTGCAGAGCAGGAGGCAGAGCGAGAGTAAAGAAGAGCTGCCGTGCGTGCTGCGTTACCCGTTAAAGTGAAGGCAAAGGCAGCAGCCAAACTGCTGAGTCGCCGCATCGCTCGTCACAAGTGTCTCTCCATCTTTTGCTTCTTCTTTGCTTCTCCTGCTCTTTTCTGTCAAAGTTTGCTCAGGTCGAGTCCAAGGTTAAAATCACAATTCTCATTTGGTGTAGCATCAC